CCGCTTCCGCGGTCGACTACTTCGGCTCGATCGGCGTGCAGTGCCCTACGTATATGAACCCGGCCGACTTTTTCATGCAAGAAATCGCTCGCGTCGACCAGTTGGCGCATCTCGTCGCGTCGTGGCGGGCGGTTGCGACGCCTGGTAGCTCAAACCTCGCGGATAGGCCGGCGCTCGATGCACCACACCGCCCCGCGCCGCGCCGTCGCGCAGGACTGTACCAATGGTCGGTCTTGTGTCGGCGCAATCTTCGGCGCCTCGTGCGGGACACGGCTGCGTTCAAGGCTCGTCTCGCGCAGAGCGTCGTGCTGTCGCTTCTCTCGGGTCTTATTTACCGCGATTTGGGCCTCTCGCAAAGCAGCATTCAGAGCTTTGCGGGCGCGCTCTTCTTTATCACGCTCAACCAAGGCATGCTCGCGGCCACGTCCGAGTTTGTGCAAATTCCACTCGAGCTACCGCTTCTACGCCGCGAAGCCAGCGCCGGCTTGTACGCCCCTACGACGTGGTACGTGGCCAAGAACGTGAGCGAGCTCTGGACCCAAGTGGTCTTTCCCTTGCTCTTTGTGGTCCCTGTCTTCTTTCTCGTTGGTTTTGACTCGCACGTCGACGACCTGAACTCGGTGTTCTGGACCATGTACCTCTTTTTGTCGCTGGTCACGAGCGCGTGCGTCGGGTTAGGGTACGCGATCTCGTGCGCGGTGCCCCGGCCCGACGTGGCGCCCATGGTCGGCATCGTCGCCCTCATGCCGCTCGTGCTCTTTGGCGGCCTCCTCGTGAACGCAAACGACACCCCGGGGTACTTTGTCTGGCTCGAGTACCTCTCGCCCATTCAGTACGGGTACCGCGGCTTGAACCGTGCGTTTTGGACCGCCGTGGCTCACATTCCGTGTGCCCCGGGGCAGCGCTGCGCCGCTCTCAGTGGCGCCGACGTGCTGGAGAACGCAGCGCTCGATGGGCACTCGCTGCTCTACGACGTAGGCCTCCTCGTCGCCGTCAACGTCGGTTTTCGCTGCCTCGGCCTTCTCGCGCTGCGTGTTTCGTTGCGCAGCCAAGGGCGCTAGGTCATGTCGCCACGCTGTTGAGTTTTCGGTAAATCTATAAAGTTGCTTTAGCGGCACCATGGCGGTCGTGCCACTTATACAAATGGCTTACGATCCGGTGATGCGGAAAACAACGGGGCACATGCCGGGGTACCCGTCCTAGTCACGGGCGTGGACAGTGCCGTCGGACCTGGACACGCCTTCGAACAGCTAAGATCTTTGTGCACGATGTCATCGCGGCGTCCCGCAGCCGTCAACACGACGCTTGATGAAACACCAACCAGCCGTCAGCTATCAATTTCTGCTCCACCAAACTACCTTGGCTCCTGCATACTGTACGATTCAGGAGGCAACGCTCCGACGCCCGAGCTCTCTCTCACATTAGCAAGCAAGCGTCTGCGCCGTCATCACAGACACGACGGAGAGGTATTACGATGCTTCAAAACACAAATGACGATGTAGTACACACGCCTAGAGCTCCTGTTGCTGCGTGGACGGCGGTCGGGGCGGCAGCGGCGGCTGGGCAAAGGCTGACGCGGGCGTCCGGTTGCCTTGGGTATCCACACCGCGGGTCTGTTGCTTGGCTTTGGCCGAGGCTTTTAACGAGTTGAACCACGCTTCGTATTTTTTGAGCAGCACGTCCTACAGCGATCTATAGTGAGGTACGAGGCAAGAAACGCAGCAAGACCTTTTCTTGGGCAGTGCGCTGCGCCGCGTCCAGCTCGGCACGGAGCTCAGCGACGAGCGGGGAATCTTCCACGTCTCTGTCCGATCAATGGTGCATTTATGAACTACAATCCATGTAGAAAGAAGCAAGTGTACATGGGTGATGGCTTGGCGTCTTGGCGCTGCTGCTGACGACGCCACTCTTCCAGCGCGCGCTTCAGCACAGCAAACTAGTCCAGACGTCAGCTTGAAGATGCTGCGTCGCAGAATACATGTACGTACCTTTTGGTTGTACTCGAGTTTGAAGCTCTCCATCGTCTGCGTCAATCGCTTGTTCTCGTCGGCCAATCCCTCGGTGCTCTGGACATCCTGCATCCCAATTTACATTGCGAAATGCATCGCCATCAACCCGCGCACCTGACGCAGCTTGGCGTTCTCGGTGCTGAGCGTCTTGACGGTGTGGGTGAGGCGCCCGATTTCGTGCTTGTGCGTCGCCAGCGCGGCTCGGAGATGCTCCATGGCATCTGTCGACGGCGACGACGAGAGTCCGTCGTCCTACGCATCGTATGTGCTCTTAGGACCCATTTGCACCAAGTGAAACGACGAGTACATCATGATGGGTCGGCTTCTCCGGCGACGGCATGGTTTCTACAACCGTCACGATGAGGCTATGGTGAGGTTGCAAGCGGCTACCGTCTTCTTTGATGGGACTCGGGATCGAGAGGCGCGACGACGGCGCGGTCGAGAGCTGGCTCAAGTACCGCTCGCGGTGGTTCTTGTTGCGGTTGCCGATCGCGGCCTTGAGCGTCGTCTCGCCGTCGACACGGGACACGAGTGGCATGCGCGCATTTCCCGTCGGCAAGAGACAAAACGAGTCGCCGAGGTCCGAGCTCAGGTACTGCTTGGACGTTGGCCGCGCCCGCCGTGCGTAGCATAGCCAGGAAGGCCGAGTGCCTTCAGTCGCTCAAAGAGGTCTTCCATCTCGGACGCTGCCTCGCGCATGGACGTGGCGCTGGGCGGCGCGCTCGATGATGTCTCGCTCTTGACCGAGGTGGGCGCTGGGACAAACGACGCTGCAGACGTCGTCGTCGCCGTCGACGGCGGTGGAAACGACGGGCGGGGCGCCGCGTCTGGCGCGAGCGCCATCTGCCACCGCACGGCGCGCTGTTCGTGGTTCTCCGCAATGAGCTTGAGCGCAGCGCGCGTCTTGACATCGTCAGCGCCAATGTCATCAAGGGCGCGAAGGTAGCATTGGCTCGCCAACTGCTCGAGCTGCTCGGCTCGGTCGAGCTACATCGTAAGTAGTACACCATGAGATGCACGTACTGGCGAGGAAGCGTACATGTCCGGAAGAAGCATACTCTTCGGCCTCGAGCGCATACTGATGGCCGAGGACGACGGCCGATCGCGACGTCGCTGCGCGCTGCGGTCGGCCCGCGGTAGGTTTCATGAGCATCCTCCTGCCGAGTTTCGACCCGAAGAAGCACGGTCGCGAATATGCATTTCTAGAGGTAGTGCTGCACTTGATATTTGCATGTCCAAGTGAATATTGTATTCAAGAGGTTCTGTGGACCAAGATCCTACGTGGCAGCACGAGCGTGCGAGGATTTGGTCTCCGGTTCTATGTAGGCAACTGATCGAAATGGGGGCCCGGCTATGCATCGAATGCAAGACGGTTAGTCTATTTTGTCCTTAGCCCTCCAGGGACAGGCTCTGCGTCGTCCGAGTTTTCCAGGAGTACCAGAACTTATTAGTTGAAGTAAGAATATATTCATCGCGTATACATGTATTACATTCATCCGCCGCGGCTTAGTGAAGCCCATCTTCAAGGACTTTGACGTGCTCCTTGGCAGCGCTGGCCTCGCTCTCGTCGATCTCGGACTCCAAGTTCTTCTCCCAGCCATCCTTGCGGAACTCACCCTCGAGCTTGGCCATGACGACGGACGCGAGGCAGTTGCCAAAGACATTGGTGAACGTACGGGCCATGTCCATGAGCCAATCCGCGCCGAGCAGCAGCGCCACGGGCCAGCTCGGGATGTTGAACTGGTCGACTGTCGACGCAAGCACGATGATACTGGCCGACCGGACGCCGGCGACACCCTTGGACGAGATCATGAGCATGAGCACCATCGTGACCTGCTCGCCGAGGCTCTTGTCGATGCCGGCAGCTTGGGCGCAAAAGACGGCCGCGAGCGAGAGGTACAAGGTCGACCCGTCGAGGTTGAATGAGTAGCCAAAGGGCACAACGAACGCCGAAATGTGCGGCGAGACACCGAACCGGGCGAGGCATTCGAACACCTTGGGCAGCGCCGCTTCGGACGTGGCGGTCGTGTACGCAATCACGAGCGGCTCGCGCATCGCGTTGAGGAACTCGATCGGGTTGATCTTGCAGAGGAGGAAGATGGGGCCAAAGACGACCACGATAAACACCACCAGCGTGCCGTACACTGTCGCGACGAGTGCGCCTAGGCTCGCAAGCGCACCGACACCGTTGGCGCCAATGGCGTTGGCCACCGCAAAGCAGACACCGAGCGGCGCCGTCCAGATGACAATATCGACAAACTTGAACATCATCTCCATGACGGCGGTCGCGAGCTCGAGCAGCACTTGCTTGTGGTGGCCGTGCGTCTGCGCGGTCGCAACAGCGACGAGGATCGACGCGACGAGCACCTGGAGGAGCTCCGAGCTGCCCGAGCCGCCCATCATCTCTCCCCACGTCTTTGGCGTCAAGTGGTTGATCCAGTGCGCAAACGTGAACGTCGACGACGGCGACCCCGTGTAGTTGCCCTTCTTGGTGATGCCAGCCGCACCAGGCTGGACAAAGTTGACGGCGAGGAGACCCACAATGAGCGCCAGCGTCGTTACGATCTCAAAGTAGATGAACGACTTGAGCGAGAGGCGGCCGAGTTGCTTGAGGTCGTTGTTGCCGGCGATACCAACAATGAGCGACGAAAAGACGAGTGGAAACACGATGAACTGGATCGGACGCAAGAAGATCTGGGCCATTGGCGCCGCGTCCTTGGCGAACGCCGGCGCGAACTGGCCGATGAGGATGCCAATGACCGTGCCGAGAATGATCCAAAACGTCAGCGACGTCAAGATCGTGCGCGTCCACGTCTTCTTGGGGGTCGGGGTCTCGTCCATAGCGCGGTAGACGACCATGGTTCTTTGAGACAAGAGGTCGAATGCAAAATGAAGAGGTCGAAGCGTTTGGTGGTGACGTTGAAGGTAGACGCCATGTGGTTGCTGTTCAAGACGAGGACGAGCTCTCTGCCGCTGGGTTTGCATTACCGATGTGTACGCTCAGTTCTGGCGTACGTTTGCGTTATACCATGGCGGTATACCGCTCGATGGTGTATCATTGCGGTGTTGTGTGGCTCGTGGGCTGCCAGATGAGCGGCCATGGGGACGTTCTCTGAAGTATTAGATGGGGTGAAGTGTGTGTGGACGTTCAGGAGGTCCATTCTCATGGCACGTATGGCCCACGAAGACAGTTCTGTTAAGTGCGCGGTATAAGCGGCGTGCGTTGACGATCTCACCGCTGCTCGAGAATCGCGACTGTTGTCGTGGAATCTGCTTGTTTGTTGGACGCACAACCGCCGACGAACCAAAGTGCAATCTCAAAAGATGCACCCGCAGCTACTGGTACGAGAGGCAGCGTACTGCACAAGCATTCCTATATATTCCGGTACTGTCGACTGTAGAAGTGTCGTTCATATTGGTGGCTTCCAGGTGTAGACGCTTCCGTCACATGCAGGGGGTTAGTGGTTAGCTCGCGTGTGACGAGGACAAGTAGATAACGCTGCTCTTTCTGCGGTAACAAGCCTGAATGAAGGTAGCGCATCGTCTTGTACGCTTGCAATCACTGATTATGCGGGCACCTCAAATAACTCAAAGACTTCGCATGCGTAGTGCTACGCCTGAATGCGTGGGAGTTGGCACCAGCACTTGGTCGTTGGGAGTGAGCTGCGTAATACGGCGAGATCCATCCCGTGGTGGACCCCACTCGCCGAGGGATAGCTCATCCCCAACACCCCAGCACCCCAAAAAGCATAACGTTAAAATAACGACGGAGGCTCCTGTATTCGGACCTCCCGACGGAGGAGTGCAAGCCGTCCGGTGTGTTTCAAACGAAACCAATAACACACAATATTGAACTCAGTGTCGACGATGTGAACTTGAGTTCGATGGCTTCTCAATCAAAAGCATCACACACGCTTAGGACACGCATCCAATCGAGGTCGTAGCGCACACAATCCACAAAGTTGGAGCGTCACGCTCGACTTTCGCGTGTGGACTCGGGTTGAAGTCTGCCGTTTCGCGCGGGAGGCAAAGACGCTTTCCCGCATCGGCCAAAGAGCCTGCCAGTACGATGTTGCTTCGACACGAAAGTCTCGTCGGCAACTCCCTTCAACCCGCTCTGGCGTTTTAGCTTTCCGTTGGACTGCAGTTTTCCCTTCCGGGTCAAGGATACAGGGGGTGACCGGTTCCTGTACGTGCTATGCGCGGTGATCCGTGGGTAAACTTTTTTTTATTTTGTGCTGCAATTACACATTGGCGCCTTCACCTTGCGTACCTCCTTGAATTGGCTTCAGAGCGATGCAGAAGGAGCGGGACTGTAGCACCCAGCGCTGAGATAACTCGCGCGTGGAAGGTCCACAGGCGTTTCAAACATCCTTGAAATCCTACCTTGAAGTGTTAACGATATGAGAATGCGGGCAGGAGAGTTTTACGTCTTGTAGATAGCAAATAGAAGGCGCCCATTGGAC